ATATATATATATATATATATATATATATATTATTAAAAAACTAGTTCTATACCTTATCCTGCTCCAGTTTCTGGAGAACTTTTTCTCTGGCTCTTTTCTCTTCTTCTTTTTCTGCTTTTCTCAAGGACAAAGTCCTGATTACAGAATAGGACATATACAAGTTTTATTATCTAATCTCATTATAGAAAAAGAAATGAAGCAACTACCGAACATTAAGATACCGTTTTCTTTCATTTTCATCAGCAATTCGCTTTGCCTCAAGGAGTCTCTTACCAGCTTGAATCCTCTCCTACAATTCGAGCATTAAAAAGGATATAAAATCACTGCTGGCAGGTTGAATGTCTAGCTTCTGGACTTAAATCAGAAACCGATAAATAGTAACTATGTTTATGATTACAGAAATCCAACCAGTTCAGTTGCTAGAAACTCTTTAAGATACAATTATAACAGATGCATAAAATATCAATTATTTGTAAACCAAAGATACGTTATAGAAACTAACAATCTCAAAGATATAAAGAGGAGCAAAAACTTCTATAACATATTTGAGTTATGAACTCAATTTTTCACACCTTGAAAATGTTAAGGCAAGTTTTTAAATACTGAAGCTAACTAACCCCTGGTTGGGTAATTCAAAAGCAAATAATGGCTAAGTTAATAAGTAAAAATAATTTGGCAGTAGAAACAATTTTTTTTTAGATAAGCAACATTTAACCAAACTTACTAGTAAAACTGAAAATTGTAGAGCCTTTAAAATATTTCCATGATTGTTGGAAAAATCTTAACTTCCAATTGAAGGCAAAGGAATTGCCACTAAAGCATATCTTGTGGAGATTTGGAACTAAATTTATTGTGCAGCCATGGAAACAAGAAATTCCAAAATGGTCCAAGGCATAAACATCACTATAAACTGCTGCATCCTCCAATACCAGCAAAAGGACTATTAACTGTTATGTTGGTGGAAAACCAGCACACTATGCTGCACAATTCAGATGGGAAAAGAAACAACCTGTTTCTGCCAAAGACAACCTGGTCAAGACATGATGTAATTGTGGCAATTGTTTCCAAGATCAATCTTGTGGTTGAGTAGAAATCTAGGTTGCACTCCAGAGTCCAGACTACCAAGTATATCTGTCCAACAGAAATGCCATTGCTTCCCATAGTGTTGTGGAAAAAGGAGACGAATGTGAGTTCTAAGGAAACTCTAGAATTGCTAGTGTTCTTGATAAAGGAAAGGTTAATTTAAAATTGATAGGCCCTTAATTCAGGGAGAAGGCCCAAATGTATTTTTGTCCAATAATCATCCTAAGCCTCTAATTTGGAGAGTATACACGAGAAAGAAAAAGAGGGGAGCAATAAGTAGTAGCCAGCTGGCATAGAAGGTTTGGTGTGTGAGCATAATCCTGTTATATAGGAATTGTTGAGGAGAGAGGGAGGGGGGAATCTTTTGGTGGTTTTGTAACAGAGGCATTTGTGCACTCTAAGAGGAGCACTACTCTAGGCAGAGATTTATTCAATTCTCTGAGTAACGATTTTCAATTCAATAATTAATACATACCTCATCATCCCTCTCTTTACCATTTTCACTCCTCTCTTCTAATACTTTTACATTCATCAATTTTTATTGTTTCTAGTTTCCTAACAAAAACTCTATGGGAAAATCTTCTTTTTTAATTATGTTTTCTGTGTGTTTAATATTTGTTACAATTTGGTGTCAGTATCTTAGCAAAGCAGGTGTTAAAGATTTTAATATGATAAATTTGTATTCTCTAAATGTGCATTAGTGGATGAAGGGTATCATAATAGCAGTTACTTTTTGTTGAATGTTTTAGAAACTAAAAGAAAGTTAGTGATAATGGATGATTACAATGTAAGATAATTATCTCTCATGTGAGAAATATGTGATGTATAAAGGGACTAATAAATAAATAATTAAATAATTAGGGACTAAATCATAAATGGGTTTAATGGAACAGTTTTGATAATAATTGTTATTTGATGGGAATAACGATCTTTAGGGATTATAAATATCCACTAATATGAAACAAGATTGACATCCCTGACAGAAAGTATTCTCTCAAACCCTAGTCATCACGAAAGATAGAGAAAGTAGAAAAAAGAGTCAAAGGGAGTGAAATTTTGATTCTCTTCTCAAGAAGATCAAAGTACTCTAAGAATCAAAAGAGATTTCTATTATGGAGAAAAAGTACATACTATTTCTTATTATTATGTGAGTATCATAAATTTCAAAGATCCTTTTAATTTTCTATAATTGATGTATTAGAAAATCATAGAACTTATATACAAATTTTTAAATTTACCCATATATTTGTGGATGTATGCTTTGAAAACTGTCATCTATTTATTAAATAGGATTCCTAATAAGGCAATTTCAAAGACACTTTTTGAATTGTGGACCGGTAGGACACCTAGTTTAAGGCACCTGCATGTTTGGGGTTGCCAGGCAGAAATAAGGATTTATAATCCACAAGAAAAGAAATGAGATGCAAGAACAATCAGTGGATATTTCGATTGGTTATCTAGAAAAATCAAAGGGGTATATGTTTTATTGTCCTAATCATAATATGAGAATTGTTGAAACTAGAAATGCAAGGTTTATTGAAAATGGTGAAGTCAATGGGAGTACAAGTCCACAAAAATGGAAGTCAAAGGGAGTAAAATTATATTTTTAATTCTGTATGTTGATGATATCTTGCTTGCAACTAATGATCTTGGTCTTCTTCATGAGATAAAGAAGTTTCTCTCTAATAACTTTGAAATGAAAGGTATAGGCGAGGCAAGTTATGTGATAGGAATAGAAATATTCTGAGATCACAACAACTATTAGGCTTGTCTTAGAAAGCATATATCAATAAAGTACTAAAGAGATTCAGGATGGAAAAGTGCTTAGCATCGCCCATTCCAATTCAGAAAAGAGATAAGTTTAGTTTCACTCAATGTCCTAAAAATGACTTGGAACGAAAATAAATGGAAGCAATTACGTATGCATCAGTTGTTGGGAGTATCATTTATGCTCAGATCTGTACTCAACCAGATATAGGCTTTGCAAATGCAATGTTTTGCAGATACCAAAGTAATCCGAGAATAGAACATTGGAAAGCTACAAAGAAAATTCTGACAGGGAACAAAGTGTCACATGCTTACATATAAGAGGTCTAATCACCTTAAGGTGATTGGATATTCAGACTCTGATTTTGCTGGATGTGTGGATTCAATAAAATCCACCCTTGGCTATGTATTTCTTTTAGCTGGAGGAGCAATATCGTGGAAAAGTGCAAAACAAACAGTCATTGTTTCATCGACTATGAAAGCTGAATTTGTAGCATGTTTTGAGGCTGCAATTTAGGCTAATTGATTGTGGAACTTTATTTCAGAACTTGAAATTGTCAACAGTATTGTTAAGCCGCTAAAAATGTATTATGACAATTTTGTAGCAGTATTTTTTTCTAAGAACGACAAGTACTCTAAGGGTACTAAGCATATGGAGTTAAAGTACTTTGCCGTGAAGGAAGAAATTCAGAAAAAAAGAGTGTCAATAGAATATATTAGCACAAACCTTATGATAGCTAACCCTTTAAAAAAGGGATTATCGCCCAAAACATTTATTGAGCATGTTAAAAATATGGGCATTATTGTTACTAATGATTGATGAGTATCATGTTTATTTATATTAAGTGTTTGACATTTTGAGCTCATTAATGATATATTTTTTAGTACATGTTCTCTATGGTTTTATGCATATTTGTATTAAAATAATGTAAACAAGTGTTATCTTGAATAAAGATATTATGTTGGACCAATTATGTGATCCTTATTAATGATCATATTAAGAAAAAGACTTGTTTGTAGTACATGGAAGGGACTATGTCAATTAAATGATGTACAACCGCCATGATTCAAATTATTTCATATTTTTAATTATGAAATTATGATGAACCCAATGTATAAAATGATTTAGTCATTTTAATGCACATTATGTTAATTTAATTTATTTATTTATTTGTCCATTATGAGAAATGCCACATGAGCCAAATGGGAGAATGTAAGATAATTATGTTTCATATGAGAAACATGTGATGTATAAAGGGATTAATAAATAAATAATTAAATAATTAAATAATTAGGGACTAAATCATAAATGGGCTTAATGGAGCAATTTTTATAATAATTGTTATTTGATGGGAATAACGATCTTTAGAGATTTTAAATATCCACTAATATGAAACAAGGTCCACATCCTTGACAGAAAGTATTCTCTCAAACCCCAACCATCACGGAAGATAGAGAAAGTAGAAAAAAGAGTCAAAGGGAGTGAAATCTTAGTTCTCTTCTCAAGAAGATCAAAGTACTCTAAGGATCAAAAGAAATTTATATTATGGAGAAAGGTACATACTATTTCTTATTGTTATGTAAGTATCATGAATTTTAAAGATCCTTTTAATTTTCTATAATTGATGTATTAGAAAATCATAGAACTTATATACAAATCTCTTAATGAATTTATAGCTCATTTGTTATGTGCTTGACTACAGTGTGTTGATGCTGATGCGGGATGCCTCTATGAGAGCCTAAGAAAACTTTCTAAAGCACTCATATAAAGCCCAGGTAATGATGCAAGCTCAAAATACTCTTAGGCTATTTCATGCTTTGGTGGTGGTGACATATTCTTAAACTCAATGCTTTAAGCAATACAAGCCTCTTAATGAATTTATAGCTCATTTGTTATGTGCTTGACTACAGTGTGTTGATGCTGATGCGGGATGCCTCTATGAGAGCCTAAGAAAACTTTCTAAAGCACTCATATAAAGCCCAGGTAATGATGCAAGCTCAAAATACTCTTAGGCTATTTCATGCTTTGGTGGTGGTGACATATTCTTAAACTCAATGCTTTAAGCAATACAAGCCTATTTTATTTCTTATTACATCTTATATTGCTACTCATTATTTATAATTTTTATAACATATACCAATTGAATATGGTGCTAAAAAACTAGTTTCATTTCAATCATCCAAGGAAACTTTATGAAACAAAAGGGTCAATACCCTTAGAATAGTGAATTTGAGTCTAACTCAACCCTACAAAACCGACTTGAAAGGTGAGAATTGTTCTCCACTTATATGCTCTTTAATTGTCTTATCTCTAGTCGATGTGGGACTTGAGTTTTTTTCCAATACACCCCCTCACGTTTAACACTATTGGGCTTGGTACATGGATAAATGGTAGGTGACCCTTTCTAATGATTTACGATAGCTCTGATACCAATTTAAAATAATAGATTGGAGTCTAACTCTGCAAAACCGACTTGTAATGTAAGGATTGTTCTTCGCTATGTACTCTTTAATTGTCTTATCTTTAGTCAATGTGAGATTTGAGTTTTTTCTCAATAAATACATAATTTGATGGTATATGGACATCACCCCAGGCTTTTCAAACCAATGATAAGTTTCTAGTTAAATAAATGTTGTAATTCCAACAAATTTTCGTGTTGTTTTATGATAAATTAAGCACTTAATTCTTAAGAAAGGGACTCTTAAATGCTTCATGGTTTTCTATGAGAAAAATTGCAAGAGCTATAAAATAGTATATTATTTTGAAAAGAAAATGGTTTCATGTTTGGCTAAAATGTAGTGAGGAAGGGAAGTAAAAGGAATAGCACATATGGAGCTTGTTAGAATAAACTTCTCCAAAAACACTTCTAGGAGAGAAAAATTAAAAAGCAAAATGAAAATGAGTTTCTCCATTAGTTAAAAGTAGTTCATGTATGAGTTAAAAAAAAGACTTTGCAAAAGTTAATAGGAGAGAGCTTCAATAAACTAGCATATGCATAAGCTAATTTTAGCTCATGGAGAAACTCATTTCATTTTTTCTTCTTAATTTTCTTTCTTAAAAGTGTTTTTGGAGAAATTTACCTAAACAAACCCACCGTTAAGTTTGGAGTTGGAGCATAACCAAATGCTAAGCTAGCAAGGAAAAGTAGGAGATGGAGATTCTATTCGGAACAGAAAAAAAAAATAGTTGAATAAAAGAGGGAAGAATAAGGAGTGTAAGTTGGCATAAATTGGGAGGAAAAGGGAAAAGTTTGGACCAAAGGTTCATTGCATTCTATAGAAATTTATATTTATCTTTTAATTTCTGCAATTTTCTGCTCTTGTAAAGAGCTAGTCTTCATTGTTTATATCAGTAAAAATCAGTTCTTAACATATACTTATGTTGCATAAACCAGGACAATATATACTTAGGTAGACAGCAAAATCTAGAGATAGTAGTTATTTTGCTTGAAAAAATATTGAATTAATCTACCTTCTCCCTTTCTCTCTCCAATCTTTTTTCTTCCTCCTGTTTCCTGTTACCCTCTTGTACCCTACAACAGTGAAAGATCAGTGAAAAAAGGAAGCAGCCAGAAGAAACAGAAATCTTTGTTGGAAGTTGTCTTCAAATTATAGCATCATATGAAATATTTATTACCTTTAGTTTCAACATTTGATAGACATTTTCAACATGCCAAAAAGAAACAACTTCTCACATAATGCAAACAAAATCTAACTTCTACAAAAATAGTGGGCAATGTCACAAAACCTTAAATTCTGAGCTTTGATTCTCATTTCTTCTGTGATAGGGAATGATTCGGAAGAATCTATATCAATGTCTACATCTACCTGTTGAAATGTAAAATAGTTCAGATATAATGTTCAGAATGGTTTTAAAATGCAGTTGCAATGATGCTTATGGTTGTGTGTGAATATCTACCAAACCACAATATTGCAATACTTTCACAATATTGTGGTGCCAACACAGTTTCAGATACCTTTCAAACCACACTATTGCAGTCACTATTGTGGTTGTTAATTGTTGAGTTTAATTATCACTCCCTGACTGGGAAAGCTAATTTAGATGATAGAAACTAGGTTTAAATTCAATAAGAATTTTCAGTTCATCCCAGCTCATCAACATAAATGTAACTTTAATTTAGACCAATAATGTAGTTAATTAGAACATAATAAGCATATTCCTTTCCAAATGTAAATTTTATTGCATAGCCAGGCATGATGCCACACCCTAATTATTTAAGAATGCTTAAGAGGAGGAGACCAGTATGCACCTGATTAAAAATTAAATAGGAAATACATACAACAAAAGAAAATATAAGAAAACTAAAATGGGGTATGATATTATACCAATGGCATCTCATCAATATCAATGTCATTCTCATGATCAATTATCCAATTTATGGCATCCTCTAAGCTCGTATTTCCTAGTAAAGCAAAACATCTGTATTTGAGGAAATATACATGAATGGCAAAAAAACATACCTTAAAGAACTTGAGAGAACTATAATACACAATTTTTCTGTGATAGAAATAAAATTACAAAACTGTGAAAACTATAAACCAAATCGTGTTGCATTAAAATGAAGTAATGTTACATGATAGAAATATTTAGTGTTACACGTGAAGATTTGACCTTTAAATTTAAGACTAAAACTAACTCCAGCTAGAAGGTATATGGAGCCTTTAAACTACAAAAGCTTCTTGAATCTGCTGAATTAGTTATTCTTATTCTCCATATATGCACACATTCATACAAACAAATGCATTGAACAGAAATGTGTGTATAGTGTACATATGTGACTTGGGGTTCATGTTATCAGTTTCCCTTATTGCAACTGTTTTAGACATGTCAAGGTAAGGGTTTATAAGCACTATAAGATCCAATTCAGATTAAAGAAAATTTAATGATTTTCTATTAAAAAGAAACATTTTTTTTGCCAACCTATTTCTCTATTGACTATTGTAACTCACATTGAAGAGGCCTATAAAACTAGCTGATGAAGTCCTAATTAAGGAATGATCTTTCGGATCACATAATTGTTGGGAAAGAAAGCAGAAACATGTTAATAAAACC